AGGGTAGAATGGTCTGGATGATCTTTAAGGTCCCTTCCAAACCAAACCATCCTGGGTTTCCACGATTCCAAGAGCTATGCAAATGTTGTCTTACAAATCCCCAGGATTCAGTCATTTTCTCAGTGCTTTCCACGAGCACGATACACACACATAATAAGACATGAGTAAGGTGCTTTGGCAGAGCTTTGCTCCCTCATTACTGCCTGATGCTGGCATCCACACCCCATCCCCCAGGGAAGGAAAGCAGCATTTCCATCTCCATTCTGAGCCAGCAGGAATCCCACAGACATGTGCTGCTGTTCTCCCGGGGTGCTGGGGCACAGGAGCAGGACGTGAGCTGCCAGGAGCCAGGCTGCTCCCATACAGCAGTTACACCAGTTCAGGACTAGCTGGTGCCAGAGTAACCTCCACCCTAGCAGAGGCCACCTTCTCCATGATCTTCCTCTTGAGGAAGGAGATCCAGTGCCAAGAACACTCACAGTTCTCACAGCTTTTGGGGAAAAAGCTTAATGCCAGTTTGAATAGAGCCTGGTAACTGGGGGGATACTGGCACACTGAACTATCCCTCTGCACATGCTGGGCCACAAGAGAAGCTGTGGCTTTAACTAAAATTAGCACTGGTGAAAGGAAGGATTGAAGCCTCCCTGTGTGCTGCATCTGCTGCTGAGGGAAGGGCAGGACCTCACCCCGCGCTCCGTGTGCAGCCTCCCACAGGGCACGGGGAAGGAACACCAGGGATCTCCTGCTGCCTCACATACTCCTGCCCACGAGGCTCTTGCAGCATCATTCTGATCTCCATGAACTCACTGATGAAGTTACTGAGCAGAAAAAGGACTCCTACAGTCAGAGGGGGAAGCTGGATTTCAGGGCAGGAATTCTGCAGTAACCTCTTGATCGAGGCAGTGCCGTGGAAAAGGGAACAAACTGTGTGTGCCCCGAAGACTCAAGAGTGAGCACGTGAGAAAAACCAGACAGAGATGGAAGAGACAGCGAGGTTGGCTAATGTGCATGCTGAAAAAACATGGCAGGCTGAGGGCTGTGCCAAGAGGAATCTCCAGTATCCCCCCCTTCCTTGGGGCACTTGAGATGGCCCTGTAGACTCCAAGAAACTGGTCAGACAGTGGGGTGGAAAATGTCTGCTTCAAGTCAGGTACTTACTGCTAAATCACTGCTAAATATGCAGATGTCTATTGCAAGCTCTTTTCTAATAAATTGTTTCAGTAAAGGCATAATATTGTCACAGGCAAGTTGAGAGCCACATGCCTGACAAGGTCACCTTCTGTAACGCTTTACTGGTGTAAGAGGCACATACCAGGCAGAAATAAATTAAAAGGCAGCAGGACCCTGTTAATGCTTACAGAGAGCACAGAATGCTGCATTAATGCATGTTGCTGGTACCTGAAGTATTTCAATGATCTTCAGCTTGGTGTCCATGACCAGGATGTCCTCCTTCTCCGGCTCACTCTGCTTGACGTTCCCCTCGGGAGCAGCAGCGAGCGGAGTCATGGGCAGGAACCCCCCCCCTCTGAGCACCACCTGGGTCATCAGCTCTCCCACTCCATGGATTGACCTCATCACATTGCTCCCTTCAGAGAAGCAAACAGGTAAAGTTATAATGGTGTAATGGGGCTGCATTAACAGGGCAAGGACCCTCCACATCCTACGGAGAGAAACTGTCTCAACATTACACATCCAAATCCTTGGGACAAAGGGAAGCCAACAGAAGCTCTGCAGTACTTGGAGAAACCCCCTGCCCTTTCCCTCTTCCATTACAGGCATTACTCAGCTTTACAGCCAAGCCAGGGACAGAAAGGAGGAGATTTCCAAGCACAGCATCACCGTCTGGTCCAGGGAGGAGATTGTCCCTCTGCTCTGCCCTGGGGCGGCCTCTCCTCCAGTCCTGGGGGCAGTTTGGGGTATCACAATAAAGGAAACATCTAAAGCTGTTGGAGAGTGTCCAAAGGAGGGACACAGGGGTGGGAAGGGTCTGAGGGGCCACACAAGGAACAGCTGAGGGCACTTGGTGTGTTCTTCAGCTGGAGAAGACGAGACTGAGGTCAGAGCCCAGCAGGGTCTGCGGCTCCTCCCAAGAGGTAGCTCCGACCTCTGCTCTGGGTGAGCAGGGACAGCACCCAGGGAAGGGCTGGAGCTGTGTCAGGGCAAGGTCAGGTTGGATCTCAGGGAAAGGTTCTTCCCCCAGAGGGTGGTTGGCACTGACCAGGCTCCCCAGGGCAGTGGGCACAGCCCCAAGGCTGCCAGAGCTCTGGGAGGGTTTGGACAACGCTCTGAGGGACAGGGTGGGATTGTTGGGGTGTCTGGGCATGGCCAGGGGTTGGACTGGATGGTCCTTGTGGGTCCCTCCCAGCTCAGGATATTCTATGACTTCATGATTCCAACCCACACTGACATTTTGAGACAAACCTGAACCACACAAGAACTTTCTGCCCATCATTTTCCAGCCTTACCTTTGCTTTCCTCGCCTTTTGCCATCTTGGTAATAGGGAAGATGGTAGTGATGTGCACACAGTCTAATATAGCAAGGAGGATTTTGGTTAGTCTGAGGAGGTCACAGAAGTTGTAGAAACCAAAATATATCAGATTTCTGGCTAAGTTAACAACCTACCAAAATAATAATAAAAAGCCTGATTAATACTAAACATTTTGCTTTCACAATCAAGTTGTTCTTAACACAGTGACAAGATCAAGAACCTGGCTGAGTCATATTTCATCACAATATCTGGGAATTCCACAAGACTGTCTAATTCTACATTACATCAGAAAGTTTTTTGCCTACAAAACTGCAATGCCTGGAATAATCTCTGTATCTGCAATTGATATTCTACAGCTACAAAATCAGACCACATTTGTCTCATTACAGAGCAGGTAAGACGGAGCAAGACTAGAGGGAATGTACTGATGATTTTTATCATTATCTTACAAAAAAGATGTTGTAAAGTTTCCCCACAACTCCTCCCCATGCACTGCTTCGAGATCCACACAAAAATATCACACACAGGGCAAATATTTAACGTAGCCCCGTTATGTGAAGTATGTTCCCTCAAATATGTTTTTTTTTAAAGAATATCATGTTTCCTCATATTAATGGTTATTTTGGGAAAGCTATTGCATGGATTTGCTACATCTCCTTTGCACAGACTATTTAATAGGTCAGTAAGTCATAGGACATTCTTGGGGAGCATCACTGTGAGCTCTCAAGGCTCTCTGTGTGCAGACACAGTGTTTAGTTTTTGAGACCACTTATTCCAGTAAGGCCTGATTTTGCCATAACACTGAGAGCACAGAAAGTAAACAAGGCTGCTGCAAATCTAAGACAAACATTCATTGATTGCATTTCAAGAACCATCACTGCAAACTCAGAAACTTGCATGAGGAGAAAGACTCCAGTGGAAAGGAGGAGCCTGCTGAGGCTCAGCACTCAATCTGTGCTTACCAAACTATCTGATGTCAAAAAAAGTACCAACATTCCACCACAAAACAGAAAAGGATAAATCAGAACTGGGTAACTACCTCAAAAGTGAGCTTATTTTTCTCTTTATCAGAGAAAGGGAACCTCTGACACACCACATCTCTTAAATATTCCTCTACAAATTCCATTGTTTGTGCAAATCTCTCCTTAATTTCATCTTTGGAAGTTCCACTGCTATCATAGCTGAAGAGGGAAAAAAAAGAACAAAACAAAAAAGAAAACAAAACACAAAGCTTAGCATGCAAATACACAGGGCTCCTTTCACCAGATACAATTTTTCATTGGCTTGTCAAAAATCTAAGAGAAGTTAAAGGCTGGTAAATAATTTATCCAAACGAAGGAGTCAGGACACTGACACCATAATTTCCTGGCTTTTGCTGTTTTATCCCATATGCTCACTTTGTACTATTTTTAAATGTCTGAGGGGGAAAAAAAAAAAGATAATTTTGTCCCAATAAATTAAAAAAGTAACCTTTATTATTAGAGTGGAAACAATGACAAGTGATGTGCAGCACTGAGGAGAAGGGCTGGCCAAGAGATGCTGACTGGGGATGGTATTTTTCCTCCAAATAAAACCCATCTATATGCAAAGCAGATATTAATATTTAACACAAATTCTAGGGTTTTTTTTTTCTCAGTATGTGCAGAGGGACTTTGAACAAGACAATCCCCACCTTCCCCTAACTCATGTTTCCCTGTTTGATCACTTATCACTGCTGAGCCTCTGCCAGAGCCCAAATCATTTGGGTTTGTGTTCTGGCATTTAAAATTGAGAATTATCTACCGTGTCTCTGTCAGCACAGAAAACCAGGCTAGAAAGGAGGGAAGAAGAAACTACTGAACACCAGCACTAACACACAAGACTTAAATTCCTGGTATGTAACACTGATTTCAGGTGTTTGTTTTCTCCAACAGAAAAAAGCTCTGAACAGCTGAGTGCTATCAATTTTAAATCATTAATTATAAAGAGTTAAAATAAGTGGTCAGGAAACCACGTCCCTGGGTAAGCTGTGGTTTTGTGTAGGTTTGTCACCACTGCAACAAGAGGATTTTCCACTGGAGGTTGAGGAAAGGGACTGTCTCCAGCACCTTCCCCTTGTTTTTGCTGCTGCTGGTGTGAGCTCCCACGAGGACAGTCTGCCCTGAGGAGTCCACACTCTGAGGACACGAACTCCACTTATCCTGGGGAGGTTTAGATTGGATGTTAGGAAAAATGTCTTCATGGAAAGGGCTGTCAAGCTCTGGAAGGGGCTGCCCAGGGCAGTGGTGGAACCCCCGTCCCTGGAAATGTTCAGAAAATGTGGGTGTGGCACTTGGAGACGTGGTTTAGTGGAGAACACGGTGTTAGTGCTGTGTTGACAGCTGGACTTGATCTTAAAGGTCTTCAAACCTTAACAATTCTACGACTGTTCTCTAATCAGACGAGGCAGGAGGAAAGCTGAAACCCTCCTCCCCTGCCTTCCTACCCCAGGGCCAGGTCACACCACCCAAAATCAGACCTGCTCTATAGCCAGTCTTAAAAACAGTGCATCTTGAGCTTCTGGGTGTTTGACTTGTTTTGCAATAGCTGTCTTTAGCCTTTCTGCAAAGTCTATGAATGGTTCTGCTGGGTTTTGTTGTACTCGTGTATATGAAGGTGTAGGTTCGGCTGCCTCAGCGATGGTTTGAATAGCTTGGAAGGCCAGATTTTGTCAAGTGCCCAGTTCATTCATAGGAATCTTGGTTTGGGCCTCACTGGAAATATAGGGTCCCACTCCATAGAGCTTGTCACTGTGACTGCTGGGTGTTTTGGAGACAAACCCCCCCAGCCCCTCAGAGCCGACCCCACACACACAGGGAGGTTACTGACCTCCCAGGAACACGCTGTGGGCGTTTTTGATTTGCTTTACTTCTAAACATAATAATAATAATAATATAATGGCCAGTCTTCACGAGCGAAGATTTGGGAAAGGTCATTAACCCTTCGAGCCTGCGCAGTGGATTTTTTAGGTGAGACGCAGCGTGCACTGAACTGAGCCCACCCTTTAATCCTGAGGTTCATCTGCCGGGGCCGAGCAAGCTTGGACAGTGGCAGTGAGGGTCTCAGGACGTAGGTTTGTTTAGAGTGACCTTCTCTTAGATGGATTGCCTTACAGGGCTGACGAGCTCCATCTGCCCGGGGGGCTGGGAATCGAACCCGGGTCGCAGCGGTGAAAGTGCTGCACCCTAACCACTAGACCACCAGGGGCCCCAACGCCAGTACAAACAACCTATAACAACAATACATAAACAAATGCACAACAACGCCCGATTTTGGGTCGCTCCGGTCCCGCTCCCAAACCCGCCAGCAGCGCCATTTGCTCTCCCACACCACCCCAGCACGGACTTACTCATCGATGGCGATCTCCGAGGGGATCTCGGACCAGAGCCGGGCGTACTTGACGGGGGTCACCTGCTCCTGGGGGTCCCTGTCCACGTGCATGTGCAGCATGAGGCGGCAGAAGGAGGCGCGCAGGTCGTAGGGCAGGTTCTCGTCGGACATGCAGCGCAGGATCAGGTCCACGTCCAGCTGCCCCGAGATCTCGTTGATGGCCAAGTACTGGCGGTCAAGGCACATTCTAGCAAAGAGGTTCAGCTGGTATCTTCAGGGGGGAAAAAAGAAAAAAAAAAAACAAACTTGAAAAAATATTTGTATTTCAGCAAGTTTGAAGTTCACACTTTAATTTCCGGTATGCTGTAAAGTACAGGAGAGGGGTGTGGTACTGATACACTCATGGATTAATAGAAATAGTATTATATTTTCCAGTAATACAAATAATGCTTACTATGGAAAGGACAATGTGCTTATCAAATGGTAACAGTGGAAGAACAGAATAAAAGGAGGCATTGTTTTTCCTGATGAAACATCACAGAATCACTGAACTACAGAATGGAAGGGACCCTCAAGCTCATCCAGTCCCACCCCTGCCGTGGGCAGGGACACCTTCCACTGTCCCAGGTTGCTCCAACCTGGCCTTGAACACTTCCAGGGATGGGGCAGCCACAGCTTCTCTGGGCAACCTGTGCCAGGGCGTCCCCACCCTCACAGTAAATAATAAGCAATGCTCTCTAGGAAAGGTACAACAGAATCCAAACAACACTTTAGGTAACTCAGTTTAAACACTGTATAAGGCCAAACACTTCTTACAGATGCTGAAGTCACAGTTGGTCACTGAGAAAACAACACAGATGGGTAAAGATTCATTAAAAATCAGATGTTTGATTATACAACCACTGAGCTCTGCTGCCTTCAGTGAGAGAATTGGTAAGGAAAAACTGAACTTAATTCCTAATCTTTTCAGTCCATGAACTGACCACAAGCAAGTGGCATTTGAGTTATGCACATCCAACAGGTTGACAATTAACCTCTGGCCATAATGTGATGCCCAACACTCCTGAGTGTTCATACAGGCTGCTGGTCAAGAAAGGAATGTTTAATTGGAAGGAGACTCCTTTCACTCTCAGCACTCCCCATGGAATTTGATTAAATCATATTCTAAACCCTTCTTTTAAGCACGTTTATGAGGTATAATGTAGACTAAAAATAATGAACACTACCAATTATTATGCCAATATATATATACACCAATAATCAACACTACCAATTCTATTTAAAAACAAGTGCAAGGAAAAAAGTATTTTGAAAGTCTATATGATTTAAAAAAAATTTAATTTCAGAGGTCTCCTTTTGAGCTCCAACAGGCCCAAATAAAACCATGTATTAGGAATTCTCCTGCAAGAACCATTTCAATGGAAGAGGTAATGCAAAATAAGATAGCTATTAAAAAAATAATTTAGTACTTTCTGCATTGCCACAATTGAGTCAGTCAAACAACTCCCAGGGGTTTCTAACCCAGACACAGGAATTTGGTCTGGGCTGAAACCTGATCTCACACTGTGCCAAGAACTCAGTGCCTTGTCAAGTCATCTGGAAACATCACTCCATGTCAGACCCTGCTCAAGGCACGGCCTGGGCTGCACAGAGCAGCTCTGCACATCCACCACACAGACCCTGGGGCACGTCCAGAACTTCAGAGTTGTCCTGCTCAGGACCACAGGACCACTGAAGGCTTGGAGAGAAATGCAGAAGGCAGAGAGAACAGCAGTGACTCCTGAAAACCAAAAGCAAAGCCACGTGCACACCCCAACCCTGTTCTTCCCACAAGTGGTTGTTCACCCCAGCTCCCACCTGAACACAATGGACACCACACCTGTGCTCTCCTAAATCCCACTGCCAGGAAACCGAGCAGGAACACGGGCACAAAGTGCTGGGCAAATTCAGCACCTGAAGCCTGAACTCTTTTTTAAATCAGTTTAAACTTGCTCAAGCTGATAACTGGACTTCCCACCACAAATAACTCTGTGCTTTCAGCTCTCACTTCAAAGTGACTTCATCCTCCCTCTCTAAAGGCCATTTTGCCCATGAAACCAGCCCCTTTGTCCCACAGCACACCCTGCAGAGCACAGGGCTCCCCACACAGCCCTGGTGAACTCTGCCAGCCAACTCCTGCGTGGTGTTCACCTGTAGTAGCTGAGCACGTCCCGATCCTCCTTCTGCCCTTCCTTGGCATCCTGGGCCAGCTCTCGGATGCTCTTGCTGCGGATCTCCTTGTTGCTGTCTCTCCAGAACAACCACACCTCTTCCTCGTCTTCTCCAACATCCAGGGCGTTTTCCCCACTTGACACTTCTTCGAATTCGAAGCGGGAGAGGACCAGCCTGCAGGAGGAGGGGGGTCACATCCCACACTGCCAGCACCCAGGCACCCCTTTGCAACGTTTCAGACACCTGCTAAAATGTACTGGGGAGCTACAAGGAACTGATTTTATGATCTCAGCTGCATTCAAAAACATAGATTTTCTTCCTCAACTCTGCCAAGTAAAAGCAGAGCAGTAAAAGCAGAGTAAAAGCAGTTACTCCTGCAGCAGTAGCACTTTACTACATAAAATCATTGAGGCTTATTGTTAAGAGTTTTAGGTTAGAGTGAATTTAGATTATAAACATTCCATTCAGTCTTGAAAAGATGAACATTTCAGCTCCTTTCATTTGAAGAAACTAAAGAAACAAGGAAATTAAAGGCACATGTAACTGACTTTCAAAAACACCTTTGCAGACGTGGTTCAGAGATCATTCCATAGTCCAGGAAAAGATCTGGCAAAGAAAAATACCTTTAAAAAAATTATTAGTTCTGTATCCTGTAAATGCCAATTGGATCAAAACTTTTTTCTGGCTTATGTGGTGGAATAACCAGAAATAAATCACCTGCTGATACTAAAAGGGCTTTTGGGGCTTTTAGTTCTTCAGCAAAGAAAAAAATTGCACATCTGAAAAAACTCAAACTAAATATACAAGGATAAGTAGGAGTAAGTGATGTAGCAACACTGAGTGCTGGTGGAAATAAATACAGCCTTTATGATTTCATGAAGAGAATCAGATGTGCAAGAATACTCTCCCCCGTCTGTGTTTCAAATACTACCTGGCAAAGACCTGCGTCCCTTTCACAGCACCTTGATAATGGTTATCTGTTCTCTAGTGTATATATTGAATAAAGACATCTTTATCAAAGACAAGCAGGACCTGGTGCCTGCTATGAGGCCTCAGCAGTGGCAGGGCAGTGCTGAGAGCTGGAGACCAAGATCCAAACCTCAGAGGGAGGAAGGGGTGGCAGGGATGGATCAGGGTCTGCCCCACTGCCAGCTGAGCTCCGTCCTGAGCTGATGGAGGCCAGGCTGGAGCCCAGAGCAGGATCAGGCCCAGGGGAGCTTGCACCCCTTCCTGCAAAGCCTGTCTCCTTTGGATCAACCATGAGACAGCTCCAAGATTTCTGCCTGCAGGGCTGAGAACACCCCTGACAGACGTTTGCTGTCGTCAGTCCCCGGCTCCCCTGTGCTTGAAGAGGACCCCGCACACAATTCCCTGCTTCCTCTAGACGTGCCAGCAGAGTGCTCAGCTTTGAAGCACCTTCCTTCTGTTTCACACCAGGAAAACCAGCTCTGCAGGCATTAACTTACTTGGTTTCAATGAGAATGTCTGCATTGGCTGGATTCAGCACAGCTTTACAAATCAGCTCCTGTGTCACCGGAATAGACTTGTTCATGGAAACGCACAGATCAGAGAGGTAATCCAAAAACCTGGTGGGAAACATGAGCCAAAGGGGTATCAATCACTGGGGAGATCTAGACTGAAGCAATCTCCATTTCAGGAAGAAAACAGTCAGAGCTCCATTTGAACAGTGCAGAGCAGGAGTGCTGCCCGAGGGGAGAAGGAATGGAGTGTCAAAACAGAAGGAACTAGCTGTGCTTCCTTCTGAGCAAGCTGGCAGGTACAGACTTTCCTCAGAAGGAAAAGGGTAATTACATACTCAAAAGTGCAGCTCTCACCTGGGCTCCCTATTTTTCCTCACGAGACTCACGAAGGTGTCAATCTCAGCAGCTGTGATGTGCTTCTCCAGGAGCTTGCGGTTGTTGTGGAGCAGGGCTGTGATGGTGTCCTCGGCCAACACGTCGTAGCCAATCTGCTTCTGCATGAAGCCAAACTGCTTGGCAATGTATTCCTTCAAAACACAGAGGGAAGGAGGAAGGGGTTGTAACTAACCCTCAGAATTTAAAACAATAAGAGAAAACAGTAGGATGTTCATCAATACCAACATCCCAGGGAGCGAATGGATTAGATCCAAACTGTTCTTTTGAAAGAAAGCAAATGACAGACAAATTTAACACCTCCCTCCCTCCCAGGCTAGATACCAGCAAGGCAGCTATCCTTATCTGAGTTTGTTTTTAATACATGGCAACAAAACTGAGCAGCCTTGATTCACAGGACAACTTTCAGTGGAGTCTGTAGTAAGCGAGAGCAAAGAAAGTCTTGTAATTCACCTGGATGTGACAACTAGAAATCTAGAAATTCTGTTGTTTTCTTAAATCCCACTTGGAACCAGTGCTAATTACATTATAGTCTCTGGGAGAGATGAAAAAATCAAGATTGGATAAAGCTGAGCCATCCCAAAACCTCTTGCTGACTGTACAACCAAGCACAGCAGAGCAGGGTTTCATTAACAGGATGCAGCCTTTCTTTTTTTCGGAACACATGAACAATGCTGGTGCCATTGAACACGACAGACATATTTCCAACCTGATTCTTCCTGTAGTCCTGCTGGGAGTGCCTGAGCACCCTGTAGCAGAGCCTGCAGATGTGCCTGAAGGGCGCGTGGCGCTGGTCCCCCAGCTCCTCCAGCCGCAGCATCGGCCCATCGCCGCTGTCCGTGAACGGCGCCTGCAGCAGCTTGAAAATCTGGATGGTCATTAAAAACAAAGACACAGCCCCATGAGGCACTGCCTTACCTGGGTAAAAATAGTGTAAAAGCAGTGTCTTTAAATATCTAAAGGTACATGAGAAATCCATGGCAGTCACCAAGCTTCTGGGCCGTGGAGCAGCCTGGACAGAAGATGTTGGTCACCTTCATCCAACACTATATACTCTAATTTTTCCTTCTGGCAACAGTGGGCCTACAATCCCACTCCCCAGAGCCTGCTGAAAGCTGGAAATTCAAAGGATCTTTTAGTCCAAATAAATTGGGACCAAAATTTCATAGAACCACAAAGTGGTCTGAGTTGGAAGGGTCCTTAAAGCTCATCTCATTCCACCCCCTGCCATGGGCAGGGACACCTTCCACCAGCCCAGGCTGCTCCAAGCCCCCTCCAACCTGGGCTCTATTAACAAGTTCCCTTTTCCAAAAACCCTTCTTGTAGGCAGAGTTTAGAGACAGCCCACCTGCTTTAGAATATTCTGTTCTCTCATCAGCTTTTGCCGTTCTCTGTTAGGTTTAGAAAACACCACTTCGAGGACATCTTGTCCAGAATTAGTTCCACCAGTAACAAAGTAGACCAAATCCTCCAGCAGTTTGGTAACAGATCTACAGAAAAGCCAGAAGTTGTTAACACAAGACTGCAAATTCTCTGTGTTAAAAGAACAATGCCAGGGTAAGTTTACACAGCTTTCTAAATGCTAAGTGAAAAATGAGCATCAATTAGAGACTGGATGAAGCTCAGAGGTTTGTACAGAACTTCAAATTAGGAACTAATGCTCCCCCATTGCTACAGCCTCAGGGTCCAACAGCTAAACAGGAGCAGCAGTAAGACAACAATATCACTTCAGGGCAACTCTACTCTTGCCAAGTTCTATTTGGCAGCTCTTTCAATTGTCAGAAACAATAAATCAGGTGATAATCTCTGCCAAGGCCAAGTAAAAGGCCTTGGCTGTGGAAGCACACGGGCCCTGGTCTGACACAGCCACCTCTGTGCTCTTTTTGTGTGGCCACATTTTCACGGACACAGTCAGAGGATTTGCAACAAGTCATATGTTCAGTCTTCACAAAATGGATTAGGAATTCCCACACTCAATTTGCAAAGGTATGCTGGGGATTAGTCCCCCAAGCTCGCAACATTTCTCATGCTCTCACTTCACAGAGGACAGGGGGGGCTGGACAGACCAGGCCTGAGAAACTCCACTGTCCACACGACAACAATGAAACCACCAGTTTTTTTAAATCTCATCAAGGAGGAAACCAAATCCCTCTTCTATTGCATACACAGATAGAATTTTCAAAGGAACAGTTACTGAGTAAAGGAAGCAAACTATGTGAACCCAATTCTGCTTTCCTTACCTTCTTTCATTCTGGGTTATTGTTCCCTTTTCCAACTTGCCAGCAATGGAACCTAAAACCTTACTTGCATCATTTGCAAAATCCAAGTCCCGAACCTCTGCAGGTGACACTGGTACTATAGCAAAAGCTTCTTTGTCCTCCTTTACTGGAGAGGTACCAATCTGAAACCCAGACAAGTTTTATCATCAAACCCCAGGGCAGGAACAAAGCTGTGGTTCACACACCCGGTGATAATGAAACAGGAGGAAAGCCCCACCCTGCTCACACAGCATGAGACTACTGCTCAAGCCAAACTTTGAGAACACTACCCCTCTGTGCAAGCTCAAAGCTGCTCCTAAACCCAGAGAAATAGCAGGTGAGATGGCAAAACGTTGTTGTACACAGTGGTAAAAACATCCTCCTGACGATGACTGTTGTGCAGTGGACATTGAACAGCATAACTGGTAAACTACCACAAAACTGAGCCTTTAAGAGCAAGTGTTTTGCATGGGCACTGGTCACCACTGTTACATGCTTGGTGTGTGACAGACCCAGCCCAGGGACTGGAACTCCTGCCAACATCACCTTTGTGGAAACACAGGAATCAAGGGATGTGCTTGCATAAAGTAACAGAACTTACTTTAAGCATCACGGGTTTCTCCTCTTCTTTATCAATAGGGATATTGGTGCTGTGAACCCAGGTGTTGGTGCAAAGGTGCCTGAGCCTGACATAGGAGTTCCTGAAAGAAAGCCAAGAGTTCCAGAGCGTGAGTCAGCTCCCCAGCCAGGGAATCTTCACATTGTTCGGATTGCGAGATGTTGGCAGGAACAAGTGGAAAAGAAGCGTCATCCCCATCCATGCTGCACACCACAACAGGAATAACATTCTTCTTGCCTCAGTTCATTCTATAAATTCACCTCAGGAAGTCTTCTGTAGCGAAACAGATTCTGCTTTAAAACAGAACCACATCCACATTGTGGTGCTGTAACTCAGCTGCTGCACAGCAACAAATTAAACCTCTTCCCATCCTCACATTTCCACTGATAGGGTGTATCTGAGCTGCCAGCTTCCTCCCTCACCCTTGGAGCTTTCAGCCCAGAATTCCTTGGTATCTTTATTTTGGAGTATCTGGTTTAGAGAGTTGCTACAGTAATGAAACAAATTTGCTGTGCTTTCTCAGTGGGAACAGACAGCAAAGGGACATCATGCAGATCGTGTGTCTTTGAAGGGTTCAACATCTTATAAGCAGGAAGATGTACCATATGAACAGTAAAGAACATGTAAACAACAGAGAATGAAGTGCTAAATACTTGATATTAGATCTTAACTAGCTTAATACAGACAGGTCACAGGAAAGGCTTGACAGGACACCCAAGGCTTTTAGTCCCAGGCCGTTCCCTGACAAGGAAGTCACTTAATCTCAATTTTCCCATCTATAACACGATGTTCTCATCATAACTCATTTGTAAAGTACTCATAACTCAATTTTAAAGTATTAAAGTGAAGCTTCAGGCATTTTTTAAGTATCTTTACAATGACCTGAGGAAGAACTTAATTCCGAAGGATAAAAGCAAACAGCGTGAGGCGGCTGTAACTGCACAGAAGGCCCCGAGCTGCAGAGCAGAGCGAGCTGCAGAGCAGAGCGAGCCGTGCCCGTGGGCCGTACCTGGGGACGAGGCTGTCTCCCCCGCGCAGGGTGGTGGGGTCCAGCTCGAAGATGGAGGAGATGTCGTTGCCCTCGGGCACGGACACCAGGGAGTAGGCCATCTTCTCCTGGGCGCGCGGGCCCCGCCGCGCCGCGTCCTGCTCGGGGTCCAGCTGGGAACGACACCCCCCACCCCGGTCAGGCCCGGCCCCCAGAACCACTGCCCAGCCCCAAACACCTGGGACTGCAGACGTGGCTCTGCATCACCAGGCAGAGCTGCAGGACACGGGGCACACGGGCGGCTGCTCCCGCCGAGCACTCTCTGCTTCCCCCGCTGCAGCTGGGGAGGATTTCTGGCTCACCACCACGGCAAACCCCACACCACGGACATTGTATCTCACACACAGTGCCAGAAGGGACAAGAGCCCCCAGCCACTCGCCCCACACACACTGGGAACTCTGACTCTGGTTTCAGGTGACCCACATCTGCTGAGATCCCCACCCCTGACACCACCAGCTCCTCACACAGATTGCAATTATCCCTCTAACAAAGTAATTAGTGAGCTGCAAATATAAAAGACCCCACACACAATGCACCAACAGTCTTGCTGGGAAATAACCACCTTCAGCAGCAAAAATGGGACTGGCATCTATCAATCCCAGGCAAGAGAAACAAAGAGCTAATCAAGGGGTTGGATGTCTTGCTGTTCACACTATGGCCTGTGGTGCTCTCAAGCACGTTACAAGGGCCATGGCACCAAAGGGATCTTTATTCCCAAGGTGCTGGCAAATCACCAGCCCCCTTCAACAAAATAAAGATACTGACACCAACTGGACAAATCCCTGGCTTTTCAGATGAAAGGACACGAGGGTAGGAAAAAATGAAGACGCACTAAGAAAAAGGAACAACAACTTTCTCCAAAACCTTCCCTAGGGCACTCCCAGCCATCACTAGTCCATCAGTGTCTGGCACACAGGAGCCAGTTGTGCATCTCCACCCTGGATGCAATTTTCAAGGTGATTTATCAGTTTCTCTGGGATGGTGGTACCAGTGGAGGGAGGCACCCAAAGCAGTCAGCACTCAGTCTCTGTCTTTCACAGTCCTGGTGGAAGGCACTGCAATCCTTAAACATATGGGAAAGGTATCCAGTGTTGCTTGTGCCTCAGGATACTCTGAAGTTCACATATTTGCAGTCAATGAACTTGGCTGCAAAGCAGTGACATTTCAAGTCTGATTTTGCACATGGGAACAGGCAGCTATCTGTATGGAACAGAAATACACTTTGGGAGTGTGCCTTCGAGGGAAGAAGCAACTCCAGGAGTCCATCTGGAGGCTTCACACCGGGAGAAATTCGCTCACTTGGAACAAATTCTCCGAATTTCAGCCGTCTCCTCATCCCCACAGCAAGGGGATGGAACACAGCAAGGAGCACAGCTGAGCTGTTCTGCTTTCAGTTTGTACTCCAGGACACAACTGGTCACTTCTTGAAACTGTGGCAAAACTGAACAGTGAACCAGAAAGTAGGAAATGGGGCAATTTAGGGAGCAGTGAAACTTCAACCCCAAGGCTGTGACAACAGCAGTCCCCTTTGCTGCTCGAAGGCAGAACTGGCACCTCACCCGTGCCCATTTAAACCCCTTCTGGTACAGCTCCCTGAGGGATAAGGAGAAAACAATAAGACACAGAGCTGTGCACAGGAACCCTGCAGACAGCTCACATTTGGAGCAAGCTGGAGTTTGGATAAACTTGGATAAAGCAGCCTACATCCTCCTGTCAGTAGTAAATGTTAGAGGATGTGGTGATTTCATGTCAGAACTGAATTATGTGCTCCTGATCCTGTTCTTTCTGGTCTATTTTTGCCACCTAGTGGTAAAGAGACAGAGCAGGGAAAAGTCAGGAGAGCTCTGAGTGTATCAATGTTATCACTGCACATCAGAGGAGGATGGATGTCTACCTGAAAGATATCAACACTGATTAACTTCCAGAAGTTGAGCCAACAAAGTAGCTCAATATTGGATCCCACTCCCACCCCCCTCCCAAACAAAAGCTGTGGGTGGGTTTTTGTTCATATTTTTAGTATGTTTACTGCAGTTGAGCAGCCAAATGCCACTAATCAGGATAACAGCTCAGTATCTGGGGGCAAGGGAAGCGTTTTAACGGCCAGGCTCCAATGACAAATCCTTTTAGGAGGAAAAATCCAGCCTGCAGGATTTCAAAGCATCACATTCATCTCAAAGAGGGGAGGAGTAGCTCTTTGTCATCTCCAAACGGAGCAAATCTTCCATAATACAGGATAAGTGACCAAGAAAGCTGCATAAGCCTATGATCAAACCCAACTAAAGAAACATAATCCACAATGGAAAGTGCTGTTCCAGTTTTCTCTGTTTTCAGTGCTGGTTCCCTTTGACACCAAAGAGAAGCTTCTGTCAATTACAAAGCATCACACACTCCATCTTTGACACAACATTTACTGACACCACCACAGACTTGCTTTCACAGGAAAATCAGAGGAATGGCACTCAAATCACCCTCATTCCTGCTCTCTAGACCCGTTATCCTGTTTTCCTGTGACAAGTACAACGAGAGGGAATTTGTTTCTTAAACAAGGAGGTCAGACAAGTGACAGGCACAGCACCGTGGGACATCCCCTCAGGGACACTTCCCACCTGGTGTCAGCTGGAGCAACTTGCTTTTCAGACCCACTCAAGACAGTGCTTCAAGGAAACAAAGGTTTAAGAAGCAGAAGACAGAAAAAGAGATGCCACAAAGGGGGGAGGCGAGGGGGGGGTTCAGGTAATGTGTAAATTCAGCTGCAAGTACATTGCTCTTCTCTAAAGCCTAATCCAGTTAATATCCACTCCTCTGGACAGGCCTTAAGAGCCTTCACAGCATCCTCAGGGTTTTAGTTTCTTCACTACCAAGCCTGGCCTAGCTCTGCACTGCCCAGGTAAACCCTGGGCCTGTGCCAAGCCCTCCTCAACCAGGGGCAAGATCATATTCTTGCCTATACTTACTGAGGATTGACACTCCAGGTCATCTTCCTCATAGTCAGGGTTTACCTGATGAAACAGAACCACAGGCACGTCAAAACTCCAGCACAGGTGGAAGTGGGAAACAACCTCAGCACCAGCTAAACTCATGTTGTTAAAAATCCCTGCACTGCCACAGCTCCACCAGCCATGCAGGACACACTGCCCAAACCCAGCACAGCTCATCAGGCCCAAAAATTCAGAATTAAATAGTCTGCGAACACGCAGAGAGATTTAGTCGTTCAGGATAATCACTACAGGAGCAAGAGTAGAGAGTTAACAAGTTTATGTTTGGGGTTTTTTTAAATTCCAAGTGGAATTTCCAACTAGAAATTAAGTGGCTGGGCAGAAATCTTTTAGAACAAACACTATTCTAACCAGAGATCAGGTGAGCCATTTCCTCTGGTATATTCTTGCATGATGTAAGACCATGTTTTTGGTTTGGCTGATTAGAAACCGCAAGATTTACTGGAAAAGCTCTACTGGAAAAGCTCACTACTGAAAAGGATTTTCAAGTGTGCATGTGACAAAATGCCGCTGGTTTTCCAATCTGCTTATCAGATGAATATAAAATGGGATATTTTCTTTATCTGCAGTTCTTTCACACTGGTGTTAAGTCTGGCTGTATTTTCATTTTATACTCAGTTCTACAATTCTGCTCAAAAATCAGTGAATCAAGAGAAATTATCAACAGTTGAATTCATTTTCTCCCCAAAGGCTCTCAGCCATTTACCATTTATTCATCTGTTAATAAAGTCATCTTGATTCTACTGCCCACATGACAGGATACTATTTAGTGTCTATTCTCTGCAGGAGAAGTTACTGCCTCTAGAATTCGTACAGGAAGTAAAATCAGCTCCAGACTACCCCAGACCATGGTATTCTTTGAAGTGTCTTTCACCTCATTTTCAGCCCTTAGCATCTACTTCGGCATTGACCCGAACGACCCCAACGCCGCTGTCCCGCTCCCCTCCCCGTGTCTGCTTTTAGGGCAGGAAATGACAGGTTTGCAGAAGGTGTCAGAGGCAGGAAAGGCTGTGTGAGGGAGGGCAGGGCCCCTCGGCCCCCGTACCTCTGCTGCCAGGTAGTGCCCGGTCGCCAGGTGCTTGAACCTGAAGAGGCTGTTCCAGTATCCGGCGCCGCCGCGGCAGGGATCGTGCTGCACCACCTGCCAGGGGGAAACCACGGTCAGGGCACGGCACAGAGCCCTCCAACAGCACCCACCTCACTGCACGGGCAGCTGGGAGCAAACAGAGCTCCAGGACAGGCAGACCCACCGTTCCCCCCTGGACACACAGAGCAGCCCATGCCCTGAGCCGGCTGCCACGAGTTCAGTTTGTCCATCGCAGCAGGAAGGTTACAGTGCAGGCTGGCAGAGAAGGAATTCAAGAAGGTGCTTTACATCTACATGTGGTGCCAGGTCTTTAAACACTTCCTAAAGCAATGCAACAAATCCTTTACTCCTTCTGGTCTAACTGATTTTTGACTATTTCAAAGCGGGTGAGGGAAGACACCGGGAAATATTTCCAATGCAGCTGAACAAAAGAAGAACAGTTCTATTTACTCCCTAACCCCTGGGGCAGGCAGAGCCTCCATCACCTGATGATCTGTTACCTCGTATCGGGTGCCTGTGGATACATCTGCTTCCTTAGGGAGGACCCATCACAGCCCAGCTGTGTCTGGCAGAGCAGGGCTACCTCACCTGTGCCCACATTTGCCACCAGGTGACTGCACACACTGCACAGTCACCACAGACTGATGTGCTGCACCATGTCCAAGTAATGTGCATTAGAGT